ATCACCAGCCTTGACTGGGAGCAGGTTCACACATCTTATTTCTGGAGCAAAATTCCTCCTATTTACACAGCGAGAGGCCTAATTCGAGAGGTAACGTGGCGTCTCCAGCAGGGATCCATTCAGTCACCCAATTATGAAGACCAGGTTATTTGATTTGGCACGCCATGCTTTATTAATACTTCCCATTGAGAGGGAGAGAGTGAGCGGTTATATTGATGCACTCATTAGCCTATTCGTCTCCAGGATGGCTAGGGGGCTTGGAGCGAGGATTATCCTTTTAGACGAGCGGCCAATGTGGCCGAGGATTGAGATGGTGCTTGTCCACATGGGGGGTGGCTCATAGGGCAGATAACATAGACCCCGTCAGTCAGGCCGACATTCAGTGGTGCCGTCATCTGGAGGCAAAGATATCGTATGAGTGGGAGTTCTCCCCCTGGCCCTCCAGTCAGCGCTTCAGGTTATCCCATGGCTGCAAGTCAGGTGATCGTGGGTTTCTCGTGGGCAGTATTCTACCAGCAGTCCTACAGTTGCACATCACTCCTATCAGTGCAACCGTCGCTCAGAGCTTTGGGGTGGTCATTTAGTCTCGTCACTACCTCGCCGGGGTTAGGCTAGACACTTACCAGCACATGAGGTCGGTTGTGCTGATGCTACACTCTGTGTTCTTTTGCACAGATCCAGGTGTCGGAGCAGCTTACGGTGCGCAGCAGTAGGCCAGGGAGCAGTCCTTCGGTCCACGAGATCCCGAGGTAGTCCTGCAGGCGTCCGCAGGCCCGGCATTTCTTTTATCCCCTTTCTGCCCTGTTTCCCTTGTATCGAGACAGAGTTTTATCATTTTGTTTCAGACTTTGTATTTAGCATTCTTTGATGATCCGTGAAATGTTGTGACACCAGGTGTTGGGTAGAGGTTGTATTGATATTTAGACGTTGTTGCTATATTTTCGGTTCAGACTTCCGCTATCTTTTATTAATCATTGTATATTAATTGCTTGTTCATCTATAGTTTGAATTGTTTAATCATGGATAAAATGAGTTAGGATATTGTTGGCGATTGTTCTTGGCTTGCCTAGCTCCCACAAGTAGGCGCCATCATGACTCCCGAGGGTGGGAAATCCGGGTCGTGACATTCACCTACGCTGAAATACTGTGTATAAAAAAAGGGCAGCCCTGCATAAAAGAAATTCCGTTGACATTAAATAATCTATTTCAGGTGCTTGTAGATTGCTTTTCGTTTGCCTCTGCACAAGGTAGGTAGTTACAATTTATCACTAAACAAAAGGCCAGTAGAACAGTAACCGAGGAGAGAAAAGCCATTAGGGGCACCCATTTCTTGTACCCGAAAAATTAATTCATAAGGAGGGGATCTACACCAGGTAAGGAGTTTACAATCAGTTTCCGTATAGATACTTTAATTTACATCATTTTGGGTACCCTTCTTACTAAAAAAACTTGAGAGTCATATATAACTAAAGGAAAGCATAGAGCTGCAATTGAGATGTGGGGCAATAGAACATTCTACTTGAAATATAGTAATGGAAAGGGCTCAAGAAATGGTGTCGGCAAACCACCCTCATCACAACAATAACCTAAGGCTTGAGTAAGAATGTGAAACTGCAAATCTGAATGTTGCGCATAAATTTATCCATTTATCTGGCTAGTGCCTATTAACTCTTTCTGATGATTATATGTTATTATGTCATCTTTGTCACTATTCAATGGTTAGTAATATATGTTTATTTAGGATCAAAGTAGCTTCAGTGGGTACTAAAAGAATCAATATTATCCCCTTAAGAGATGAAAATTTTCTGAAATGGATAAAACAACTAAGACGACATGTTTTTCAAAGAAGCACTTCTCCTCTTTAAGTATAAATCTGAGCAAATTACATGTGCTTTTTAGTTATAATAACAAAGTGTAATTTAAGGATAATATGATAATAAGCATATAAAGAGATCTAAAATAAAGAAGAGAAGAAAAAGCAAAACTTGAAAAATGAAGCAATAGCAGTATTATTTTACACTTACAAGTAACCAATTCTTTACTCCAAATCACTTGCTCCATCCAACAATTTAACATTGTTGTGGTGCTAGTCTCCTAGACCTTTGTAATTTGTAGTATTCCATTGAATGAAGTATTAGACAATTTAATGATTCAATGAAGTAAAACAAACACCTAAGACTGAATAATTCATGGACGGGACTGGATAACAAAATTATTTTTAAATTTATATATTAAATATATTCATTGGTTGATCTTTACTCCATATTTTTTTCAAAGTTATCTAACAATGAGTTTACTGGTTTATCTTTAATATATAATCAACCTTACATCTCTTATGTTGTTGGCTGATTAAATATTGTTCGTTGTTGAAGTATGGACTCAATGTACAAATTATAAGAAAATGGATAAAATATTTACGAGGGTATAGAAATATTCTTTCAATTGATTAGGCTTCAACTGATCTTTGTAAGCAATAGTCCTGCATTAAGCATAGAAAATTTCAAAAATTAGCCACAACATTACAACAACGAGTGATGTATTCTAAGTCAGGAACAAATCTTGAATAAAGTATTGTATCAAGGCAAGTATAATTTCAATATGAAGAGATTAGAGGAGATGAAGAGGAAAATAGTTGCGAGCACCTATGGGTCGGCTTCATCCCTCTTGTCTTATCTTTAAGAGGATGAGATCCAACAATATCGCTCTTAACGCCCTAAAGCCCAAAGTGAAATACACCGTTCCTCACTCTCTCAGTTTCATGTTGATAACCTTTGAGTTTGGTGACCAACATATTGAAAACTTGTAGCATCGATTTTTTGAATTCGCTATAATCGTTAACCTGAGTAATTCCCACAAGTAGCTCAAAAGATGATATAAATCAAGTGAACATTCAGAAAGCAACCAAAAAAAAAAACTCCCCAAAGCTGAATTATAATATGATCAGAATACCATTAAAGTTCACATGCAACTCCAACCGTATGCTATATCACCAGGGTGAAATAACTTTGTTCTCCTTGAAAAAGAAACATAGATTTTAAGAATAAATTTTTGTAAGCAATTTAGTATAAAACTAATTGTAAAAAGCACGTTTGTATAAATCCATTTTATTAAATGTAGTTCTGGATGCTTGAGCTCTAAAATACTAAAATCAAACTTGCAAAAGTCTTCAATTAAAAAGCTATAGTAATTCACCAAAGTATTATTAACAAAAAAAAAAAGGAAAAGGCAGTTACCTTTAGTTTACTTCTTCATGGAGAAGCATCAGTTGTGGTAGCGTCGAAGTTTATATCTCTATTATTTTTAGTTTTTACTCTATATCAAAAAAGAACCAAATTTGACATATTAAAGATTAGCTTGGCCTAATTGCTGATTAGATTTTGTCATATTACAAAAAAAATAAGAGAAAAGTTAGGCATGTCAAAGATATGAATTCTTACTTGCAATAATCGTAATGAACCGCACTATCAGTTGAAACACAATTTTAAAGCTATGATTGTATTTCAAGATCAGTTTTAAGATATGCATCCGCGAGAAGAACTCTCTTTAAAACATGTTTTACATTATGTACTTATTCAAATATTATTTGGTGAATGAGTCAGGAATATCATCAAACATCTTGGGTGCATAGTCCACTTCAATGATTATTATTAAGACTACTCAACACGATTAAAAGAAAGAGGAGGAGAAAGTAGAGAACTTAACTAAAAAAATAGGTGCATCTTCGTTCATCTTCTGCTTTCTCTTCTGAAGAGAAAAGATTGTTACACAAGTAGTTGTGCAGATCATCCATCTTCATCTTTCCTTGTTCGTCTCTTCATGTTGGAAATGGATCTATAGATAAAGTTATCCTTACAGGAACAAATAATAACAGAGCACAAATTATGACACCTAATGTTACAGCAGCAATTTTGATACCTTGCAATTAGGTACGATCAATCAAGAAATTATTCAAAACAATTGAAAACTAACACTCAAGAAATTACTAACAGAAGAAGTTCAAGTTTTGCATATCATCAAACATCTTGGGTGCATATTCCACTTCAATGGGAATTTAAAAATTACCAACAGAAGAAGTTTGAGTTTGGCATGTAAAGCAAACTCATTTTGAGAATTTAGAGAAAAAAAGAAGTGCTACACAAATAGGAAATTCCATTATACTTTGAAATTTATGTTGGTAGAATGGTTAGAATTCTATAAAAAGTTCTGAAAATGTTACAACTGCAAAAATAACTGCACAACCGATACATAATGGATAAATGGTTCCGATATTGAGTTCACGTTCCCAGAGATTCCCCTAAAACTTCTTGACGGTTCCACCGACTTTGTACATTTTCTTTTTACCACATCTCTGCCACAATGCACAAGAAAGGCTATATCTATATATTATTAATATTAATTTAATTTAATATTTAATTTAATTATTTTAAATAAAATATGCTCTATGAAGATCAATAATTAAAATTAATTGTTCGGTTTTATTATTGCGTAAACAGTATAACCACTTACCAAACCATGTGATTTTTAATTTGCAAGCGGTTAGGACACCACTACTTACAAACTGTTAAATTTTAAACATTAACTAATAACTAATTATTACTCCTAATAACTACTTTTTGTCCTAAAAACTAATACGTGTAATTTTCTTATTTCGCCACTTGTCAAATTCCAATGTCAAACTCCCTTCCTTTTAATTATATATAAGATAGATTTATACATATAATTTTACGCAGACTTATTTTATACCATAAGTCTCAAATGTGATTCTTTTTTCCCTTAAATTTGTGCCTATTTAAACACCGTTACATCAATTGGGTGGAGCTAGCGAGTAAATAAGAAGTTCTTACGCTAGAGAGTAAGTTAAGTATAACGGAATTTTAACGGTTTTGGAATTTGAAAACGGTAAGAAGAGTCAACGTTAAGGTCGTTGGATATTATCGAGTGAGGTGGAAGCAATCTTCACCATAAAATATGTTTTCTTCTCTTTCCCTCCCATTCACATGTTCTTCAAACCACAACCACCAGCTTCATCGTCCTTTCTCTTTCTCTCTCTCACACACACAGTTTTTCACCTACACCTATATATACGCCATTTTCATCCCACATTATCCGCATGAATTAAGAAATCGCCAGAAGATTCTCGAGATCTCCACTTCACGTGATCTCCGCTAGCTTGTGCATTAATGGCGGCAACTGCTCCGCATGTACTTCAATTGCCGGTTCGGTCGCCGGAGCTTCGAGTTTTGATTGCTGGATATGCGATTTTCCGGTCGCGATTGGAGTTGCCGTACTTGCGTAAGAATCACGCGCCTCTGCACGTTAAGGCTCGGAAAGTGAAAGTTGAATGTGTTGCAAAATCCACTGAAGAGGAGACTGAGCTGGAGGCGTTGGTCAAGGACGGTGATGATGATGATGATGACGTGGCGATTAGTCGGGAGTACTCCAATGGCTCAGCTATTTCGCAAAAGACTGTTTCTAATTCTACCTCTAGTCCCGATTCCTTGTCCCTTGGAATTCGTGAACCTGTTTATGAGGTCCTTAACTTTCTGATAATTCAGTTAATTTTACACAATTTTGTTCTTAAGTTACTTTCTACTCAAAGATTTTGCTTAACCTGTAGCTTAATCTACTTTAATAGCAAAATCAAAAAAACCTTTTTTTTGTCACATTAAAATAATTGAATTTTACTCACTTTAAAAATAAAACACAAAATTGTACTTGCTATAACAGTAAAGTCACAGAATTAATAATCTGTTACAGCAAATTCACAAAGCTTTACTTACTATAAAAACAACTATTTTTACTGTTATAACGGTAATGTTTTGTGATAGTGGGTAAAACTTTATGATTTTATTATTATAGTAGGTAAATTTCAGCCTACTTTAATGTGATATAAGATAGTTTAATGACTTTAGTGTTATAGTAATGGTTAATCTGACTACATATGATTTTGTGACTTTAATATTATAGTGCGCAAAGTTCAAAAATTTAAATTTAGTAAAGTATGCAAAAATTGAGTTGGTGGATCGGAGCTACCGCAAAATTACACCGCACATATATATGTACCTGTTGTCAAATCTATTTGATGCGCCACTTTCAGTAAAGTTTTGGCCATATTTATGTTTGATCTGAACTACGAGAAATGGTTAGGCATAAACGTGTGCATTTGTGAACTAGTTCCCTTGGAGGAGTTCGCGATTATGTAGATAATAATATGGGGGAAATCAGGCTCCTAAAAGGAAGAGGTTTTGAGTTTTTTGCTGCTTAAAAAGGCATTGGTATTTGCTGATGGATTGCGAACTCATATTTTCTTGTGCTAAGTCATTGCTAACACTTCAATTCCTTCTTAAGGTAGTGGAGGTAAAGTCATCTGGGACGGTAGCGAAAAGGAATATAAACAGAAGGCACTTGCTGAAGTCAAGTGGTGAGTCCCTTCTTCTTCTTCCCTCTCTCTATATCTCATACCTTCCCTCCTTTTCCTATAAAGTTGAGATTATATGATCAACTGACTATGCACTCCGCAAAAAGTTCCGCGCATTTGAGAGAAACTCCGTCTTTGTTGATTGTGTGAAATTGTTGAGTTCTAATGTTGAATGATATGGATTAGCTGGTGTATGTTGTGTTCTCTGATTCAGATAAATCTCTTGTTAGTATCTTATTCTATCATTAGCTCACAAAACTAAATCTCAACTTCTCTGTTAAACATTTATCATGCTTCTCTGTTTAATCATTAGTCACACTTTGGACCCTTTTATTCTTCATTCTTCTAATAGATATTACACCTCTATTAGTTTGATCTGAAATCCTTGATATTGAAACCTCTTTCTTATGTGCATTCACTGGTTTCCTGAATATATATGAAAACAGGTTTACGCCCTCGAGATATCAGGAGTGTTGATCCATCATTGTGGTTGACAAATTCAATGCCTGCGTTGCTGGTACTCCAATTGCTTTTAACTATGCATTTACTGAAAGCATTCTGTGGATGTTTTATTTGCTTGTTCTCAGTTTAATAACCTTTCAAATGTTGTTAAAAGTAAAAGTAAGTTAACAATCGACGATCAATATAAAACCTTTGCTACATGCAACTTATGAAAGGTTTTTTTCATTAATAACTCTTCATATTTCCTAATTCATATAGCTCATTAACTAATCCCAGGTTTTGTTTGTAATTTCTCTTTGTGAAAATTGATATTCACCATATCAGGAGAATGCCACTTAATGAACTCGCTTTTAGGACAAAATGATGGGCAAGCCCACATAGTTTTGGCTTATCTTTGGAAGGCACTGATAAGTTATCCTTTTTTTGGGCCAATTCATCTTTGTATGTTTCTACTACAGAGCATTTTCTCCTTATCCTTGTATTCCTGTCTTTCAATAATTTCTTTACAAATCCAAAAAGACAGTCAGAAGGTTTTTATTGCATAAACAGTTACTTTCTGAGGTGGAAATACCTGCTTCTTACTCAGATTTTACAGTGATGCTGTTTAAGATTAGCCAAGTTGTTTTTTCCTTCACTGATCTTGTGCAGTTCCACCTTTTCTTCCTTTAAGTTTATAAGTTCTCCACATAATTTGTGCTCAAGAATTATCAATTAACTTCTTGCTCAACTTAAGCATATAACTTTCTCCACTGGCTGTTTTTGATGGACATCATTTTGAAATCTTCTTCCAGGTCCGTGAGCATGCAATTCTATTGAATCTAGGTTCTTTACGGGCCATAATAATGCAAGAACAAGTCCTTATATTTAATTATAACCGGTAATACTTCATACCAGATACTCTAAAAGTTTAAGGTCTGACCTAGCATATAATGCAAGTGAAGTTAACAATTTTATTTGCTATGCCTATAGTAAAGGAGGAAAGGCTTTCATTGATGCATTGTTACCACGGCTAAATCCTAAAAACACAAATGGAGGACCATCGATGCCTTTTGTGCTAGAGGTTAGTCAGTCCAACCAGCTGCTTTACGTATTGAAAAGAGTTGATTACTCTGTCCGCACCTTGATCTGTAGTTTCTTCCTTACTATAAGTTTTGCTACTTTGTAAAATGATGGATGTTATGTATTCTTGTGATCCAAATCATATTTCTTGCCATTCATTGTCAATGTTACATGACATGATGCAAAAATTCGCTTGAAGGCCACTACTTCAGTTGAAATGCTACCACAATGATCCCTAAGGAATTGTAGACAATTTTATTTTTATTTTATGATGGTGGTTTTTGGGCCAGCTTGTACGCACCTAGAGTAAAATCCACCAGATACCTGCTACCTCCCACCAGTATAGGTACCGGGTAACCCTGTCACACGAAGACCTAGACATATGGGAAGAAATAACCTAGTATTTTTTGTCTCCACTAAGATTTGAACACACCCTTGAGTGCATCAATTCTGCAAAGCTTATATTTACTTGATAAAAAAAATCAATTCTGCAAAGCTATCTAAGTTGTCCTCGATCTATTAAATGGGTGGAAAGATTTTATTTTAATTTTTATGTTCTTCACTTAATAAAGCGGGACTTGATGTGCTCCATGTATCAGTACTTGAATTACAAAGTATGTTGGACTAAAATTTATTTGCATTTCTTGGGGGCTTTCCATTTTGAAGTTAGTGCCAATAGATAAAGCAGAACCCTAAGCACATTTGCTGTAGCACAGTTAGTGTGGCAGTATAGTTATCTGAAGTGGACATCTATTCATGTTATGTTACTGAATTAGAAATAAGGATCGCAAGACGTAACGAAATTTCGAATGGATGTGGATATCAAGCGTAATAAAAGTTTGAAGTCTGTAAAAAGACTTTCTTCTGAAATTTTCAGGTGGTTGAAGCAGCATTGCATTCACGGATACAGAGATTGGAGCATAGACTCTGGGACTTAGAACCTCGTGTGAGTATGGAACATAGTGAGTTTTGTTTAACTTTTTTCCTTTTCCACCTTCCTTCTTCCACTCTTTGTCTATATCTTGAAAACAGAATGCTCCATTGGGCATATTTTGAAACCATGAATGCTCTTTGTAAGCAAGTTGTCTTGGTGAGGGAGGTTGACTGAAAATGCAAGGAATCTGTCACTTTCCTTTAGATTTGCTTTCCATTGCTGTTGTTATGAAAAATATGTTCTAACTAAAGCTTTTTGGAGGAATTGTTTATAATTTGTGCAGATCATTTTTACGTGAAACTGCCCTAATTTATGGAGTATCTTTCAAAGTACATGCTTGCCTAGCTGTTAGAGTATATCCCCTTAGGCCTTGGAATTAAGGTTTTCTCTTTCCACATTCTTGCGATAGTTATTTTCAATTTAGAAATACTTTGTCTCACTTGGTGCAGGTCCAAGCATTACTTGAGGTTTTGCCTAATCGATTAACTGCAGACATATTGGAGGAACTCCGTATCAGTAAACAGAAATTGGTAGTTACCATTCAGGCATGTCTTATACAGTTAATTCTTGATATTTGCTACTAACACTTTCCTTCTCTTTCTTGTGACAGGTGGAATTGGGTTCCAGGGCCGGGGCTCTTAAGCAAATGCTGCTTGATATTCTAGAGGATACTCATGAAATACGTCGCATCTGTATCATGGGGAGAAATTGCGTACTTAAGAAAGAAAATGATGAGATGGAATGCTCTGTGCCCCTAGAAAAGGAGGTTGCTGAGGGTGTGTTTACATTTCCATACTCACTGTGACTTGCATATGGCATACAACAGATGCCTGATCAATATGCATCTAACAGACTAACACTTGCTTGTTTGCCTTTCTCTTTTGCAGAAGAAGAGGAAGAAATTGAAATGTTGTTGGAAAACTATCTTCAGAGGTTGTCTATTGCTGCTTCTTTAACTCAATTCGTGCAGATAGTGTAGCTCAGAATTGTTCCATCCGTACTTTATATTTAGTGCAATAACATAATCAAGCAACATGCACTATTTAGGCTCTGGTTAGACTCAGATTCAGATGAAGTTCTGCAAAATAAGGGCTCAATAACAAACTCAAAAGAATCCAGAAATGGTTTGGTTTGACTGTATTCTACTGTATAATAAATGATAAGCTTACTAAAATTCCCTTAATTACGTAAATATTTAATTTATCAACAATTCAAAATAAAAAAGAAGATGATCGAAAAAGGGATAGTAAAGTTGCTGGAAGGAGTACTCAGAAAAAGTGGCGAGAAAGAGTAGTATTGATGAAAAAGGGTTGTTAAAATATGACATCAGACAATTCAAAACTCAAAAAGGAAAAAAAAAAAAAAAAGGATAACAAGTAGGTGGTGAGATGGAGAACATTAATAGTGGCAAGGAATACTTACGGAAAGAAGGGGCTTAAAATATGATGAAGAATAATAGGGTAATGGTTGGTTTTAAGAAAGAAATACGGGGTAAAAGGAGAATTTTAGATAATATGGGCAAAATGGAAATGAGATACTTATCAATTCCACCACAGCAAATTGGTTGTTACGTAAAATGGGTCTTTTTATTGTTATGTAATAATAGATGTAGCAATACAATACAATAAATTGAAGTAACAGTCAAAACAAACATTGTATTTAAAGTAACAATATGATAAAATATGATGCGAGGAAACCATCCATAATGTTACATATCGCACAAACTCGTGAAAATATTATAGTTTCCTATAAGTCAAAATTTACTATCTTAAAATCTCCGTCAAACTGGGATTGAAGAGAGTAACAAAAAATATCTGCAAATGTAAAAAAAAGAAAAAGAAAAGAATGATGAACTAAGTTTTTATTAGATGCAAAGAAGTTAGCTCTGTGAATATAACTGAGTAGGATTTAATATAATCAAATAACAAAATCTTAGAGAGAAATTTTTTTGAGCAAGAAATCATTGAAACGTGCAAGGTAATCCTAAAGCATTCAACTTCTTTTTTGTACATATAGCATTCACGATTCCTACCTTTTGCATTTTACTTTTAAGGCGGTTTATATGGCAGTTAGAGGATATTTGTCCACCCAGCTTGGTCCAATACAAGGCAAATTTTATGATCATACTAGGTTTCCACCCATCATTTCTTGTTTGTCTTTTACCATACAGTAATTTGCCAATAGTTTTTTTTTAATATATATTTGATATCATTGGTTCATCCAACTGCAGATGTGAATCTTGTCACGGTCAAGCAGAAAGGCTCCTTGATTCTGCAAAAGAAATGGAAGACTCAATTGCCGTAAACTTGAGGTTTGTACATGTCTTGATACTTTCCTGATTCAAGCTTTTATCTTTGAGATGGTGAACTCGGTGATAGATAGCTGAAAAGTGTGAACAACAATTTGTTTGTAGGGCAAATTGGTACCGAAGATGCTTTCCTTCATCTGAAAAAACTCTACTTTGTAATTTTCCTGGCCTAAAGTGTTTTGAAACTTTTCTCATGCTGTAGTGAAATATAGGACGATATTTTATAAGCTGGTCTCGTTTCAGCGGATAAACTTACCATATGCCAAAGTATTGATGGACTGCTGATTAATAGATTCTGTTGGTGTTCTTATCAGTAAGCCATTTGTTCAATTGTGCGAACTAGCGATCAACCAAGTGAAAAGAGCATTAAACTTCTATATACAACTTCACGAGTCCACGAGTAAGAATTCATTGCAGAACTTTCAATCACTGAACCTGTAATTTGTGTTTTAATAAGAAGGATGTCTGTCAGAAAATGCTTATCCTACAAAAGAATGGTAAGAAATTTTAAAGAATAAAGAGAACTAGATGGAGCATGTGACTATTTAATTCCTGTTGTACCTTTCGAAACCTTTTCAAAGTTTTTTCTTCTTTTTTTCTGGTGATTAGTCGTACCTTGACTAAACAATAGTTAAGACATACTCTTACCGTGGAAAGCAGGGTTCTTTAGCTAAAAATGCTAGGATTCCTTTAAATAAATGCATACAAGAAATCAAGGTAATACTACTAGACTGTTAATTTATAAATTGGTGAAAGTGCGTTTGATTTCATTCTGTAATTTGCCTTCTTTATGGTGTACTGACACATAGTTGTGAAAAATATTACTATCAGTGAGCATCTTGGTTAGACTTCAAGAATTTTCTTTCTTTTTTCAGTTCTCGAAGGCTTGAGGTAAGCAGATTTGAATTGATTCTACAGGTTGGGACATTTTGTGTTGCCGTCGGTGCTATGGTAGCAGGTATCTAATCTACTAACCAAAAGCAAGTGTAACAATTTATGCTTAAACCATGTTTTTTCTACAGTGGTTTCTTCTTTGACACCTTCTCAGGAGAACCAGTTGAGTCGCCCCTCTAGTTTTGTCTGTAAGACGTTTCTATGATGCATAATTATCCAATTAGATATGCGTAGTGCTAGTAGAATTCACATGGCTTAAGAGACGCAAATTTATCACTTCTACATGGATTACCTCCAGTGAGTGCTCAACTGGGATTATTACTTCGTATTGTTCCTTTTGGATGGAAAGGGCTATAGGCCAAATGCTGAGTTCTTTCAAGTTCGTTTTTCAGAACAAATCCATCGACTAGGTCCTAGGTATGCATATGACCCTCGCACTTCTTAGTTTGCTGTTCTTGGTGAGAGGTGCAGAGGTTTTATTGATTTTTATATCATACCTGTGCCTCGGCGTCGCACTTTTAATACGTAATATATGTTTCTACACAATTTAGTCGTACATGTTTTGAATGCTTTTCTCTCTGATCATACTCTTTGCCCCAAATGTAGTTTAACTTTACCAGACCATGTCCATCATGCACCATAATGTCTCAGTATTGATAAATAAGCTGCTCATATATCAGAATGAAGTTGGTTGGTTTTCAACCTTTTGTCCCTTTTCTTTTCTTGGTTTTCAACTTTGTGTCAGATCAGTCAGATTGTTGACCTAAACTAGCTTTGGTGTCTTATAATTTATAAATTCCTAAGTTATTGCTATCGAGTCATCCGGTTTCAATCACAGAACTCCTTCAAGTTTTTTAACTTGGTGCTACTAAGTTGTCTGTTCCTACTTTCTGTAAGTTAAAGCTACTCATGATTTGAAAAAGAAAATGTTGCTCATAATTAGTTGTTTGTACTTTTCTGAAGCACATTTTAAAACCTTATTTAGGAGAAATCTCCGGAGAATTGAAAGTAAAGAATGGACAAGTGCTTGCAACTGGACTGAAAAGTAGAAAAGATGGTTCTTTGTCTATTCTACTGCTGCGAATAAATTCCATCTGCATTAAAAGATTAGATTCATAGATGTATATTATGTCGCTTGTGTTATGACATACCTGCATTGGCTTCGGTACAGGTATATTTGGCATGAACTTAAGATCCTATCTAGAGGAACATGTGGTATGTTTCTTAAATCTCAAGACCTCATTCTCCTCCTCTTGGGCAATATTTCCGATTTTTGTCTTCTCATTATGTGTTTGTCTAATTAAATGCAGTTTGCATTCTGGCTTACAACTGGAGGAATAATCGTTGGGGCTGTTCTGGGCTTCTATCTCATGTACTGGTATCTGAGAACAAAGAAAATACTGTAAGCAACAGCTGCTTTGGCAATCAGGTATAGTCCTCACCCAGAGGCGGATCCAGGATTTAAACCCTATGGGTTCAGTCTTTAAGATTTTTAGCATTGAACTCATTATATTTTTAAAGCTTTGAGTTCAAATCTACTATTTGTTTCAATTTTATTTGGTTTACACATAAATTTATGCTCCGCATCAAAAGTTATGGGTCCAGTTAAACCCGTCACTTATACGCTACATACGCCCCAGCCCTCACCATTAGTGCTCTACCGACTTACCTCCTTGCAGTTAACATGAAACAATGATTTTCTTGGACTATGTACATGTTGACTAGAACTCGGATGTTTTATTGGGGATAGGAGGTGCAATAAACACAGCAATGTAGGCTGGCCATTGGGTGTTAGCTTACTTGTCAGAAGACTTGTCCATCTTTCACCAGTACCACACCCAGTTAAAACATGACCCCTCTTAGCCTACTACTGAAATATGTGGCAGTGTCTAAGTCGAATTACATCTATTTCACATCATGATTTTGATGAGCTCTCTTTCTATTCTCAGGTGACACGAAACTGGACAAAGATTCAGCTTGCAACTGCAATATAGTGCCCAAAAATTGCTGGGTACTAGCATATTCTGTGGAAAGATTATTAGATTGGAGCATTGCGCATTAATAAGGAGCTTCATAAACACTCGGCAACATCAGCAAAATTAGGTACTCATTCTGTCCCGAATCAAGATCCACAGGATTTGAGAATAAAGGAGACCGCCAAATCCTCGGCAAGCTAATACCATGGTTGTCAATTAGGAACAGCCATCATCCTCTATACCAGCTTGTTAGGTAGCATAGTGTTTCCAGTTATAAGTTACTACCACATTCTGGCATTAAAGGTATTGTTGCACTTGCACCCTTGTAAACCCTGAATACGCAAGTGGTGAGTCAGTTGAACAGAAGTACCAATTGAGAGAGTTCTCATGCCCAAAATTTAATTATCATTTCTTCTTTCATTGTAAGTTGTGCAGAGTAGATTTTGAACTTGAAAAAAATAACTAATTCATGTATTGATGCCAGATCGCTCCCGGAGTTATGGACAGATTCTTGACCATTGAAACAACTCCTTTGGGTTCAAATTCTTTTCCGTTGGATTAGTGTTTTGTTACATGTGAAATCATGGAGATGTTTGCCTTGTAAACTTTGTTACTGGTTTGTACTGCTCGTCTTGTACTTGTGTTGGTTATATCATTGCAAAGTGACCCAAGCCAAACATCTCCATGATTTTACATGTAACAAATGTCTCACGACATACTATCTTGCATGGCACTAACTTTCGAGAAATGAGAAACGCAGAATTGACCGAGATCGAACGGAATAGGTAAATTCAATCATAAGGGTCGTCACAGAACAAAGCCCTTAACTCTTGGTTAATCTTCAAGGGAAATAAATTAAACATGTAAAAGCAAGGACTAGAAATTCACCGAAACGTAACACATAACTACATCAAAATAATACTCTGAAAAATGTCCCCCATAATATTTGGTTCCCGTCACTAAAATCTTATTCCAACTGCTGCTACTGCACACGTTCAATTTGCCAGGGGTGGGAATGGGAGAAAATCTATCAATGTCACCACTATCATCGCCTGTACAGCGAATAAGAAAACACGTGGACACAACTTTTTCTATAATGAGATACAAGCAATTAAGATCCAAGAGTAATTTTGTAAATAGAAAGTACACGAAAGGACAGGATATTCAACTTTCACAAAGAATACTCTGATACTAATACAGGGTAATCAAAACCTTAAAATGGTTCAACAACGATACATTAGTGATCATCTCAAAAGAATGAAGAGGCAAATGAAATAGGTATAAAGGGAACCAAAAGTACTCCATGGTCCACTCACAAATTTTCTTAAGGGGCAAAAAATGGTTAAATCAAGATGGAACAAGAAAACCACAACCTGAATCAATCAACCATGCTTTGCTGGTTTTACAGATTGAGAAACTTTGACTGGCTTTGCAGTTCCATCAATCACAATATTCCCCACTCCAACTTCCATCGCCTCCCTCTCATCTTTCTCCCTCTTCTTCTCTGAGCCACCATTTTCAGTAGCTCCGGATGTAGAATCAGTTGTAGCCGGAGCAAGACTCCGAGGGCCTCCAATGATCCACGGATGACTGAGACATTGAGCCGCAGTAGGTCTTTTCTCAGGCACAAAATCAAGTATGGGAACAAGGAAGTCTGCCATGTCACTAGCATCTTGTTCACTGAAATCATACTTTTCCCTAAGCACTTTGCTTATAGGCCAGAACCGCAATCGCCTGATATGCCTCAAGTCTCCATATCGGTTGAAGAACTCTCGTGAATAGCGCCCACCTAAGGCGATCTACAGACAAACTTAAGATCAGCTCTCCTAGTTGAGTTAATTTACATACAAGAAACGAAATATTACGCTGCTTGCACCGGAAATCAAGACTCACCTTGCGTGGCATCATTCCAAGAAGCTCCATCATTAGGGCCAAGTGATCCTGTGCAGAAAGGGGAAGTAAGAAAAAACCAGTGAACTGAACCAGCAATTAATAGCATTAAAGGGCATCCCGGTGCACGAAGCATCCCGCGGTTACGCAAGGTCCGGGGAAGGGCCGCGTCCCAAGGGGTGTGATATAGGCAACCTACCCTGATGCAAGCAAGCATCAGTGGCTGATTCCACTGCTCGAACCCGTGACCTATAGGTCACACGGAGACAACTTCACCGTTGCTCCAAGGCTCCCCTTCACTAATGCTTGCATCAGGGTAATAGCATTAAGAAAGAATTAATCAAATTATCTCTACGAATAAAATCTGACAAAAACTAATCCAACACAAAGGATGACAAACTCTGGCTTCAAAAGCTTGACCGGATGCTCAAAAAATTGAACTGGCATTCCATTATCTTTTATACAATCATGTCCTATGTCAACAACAACAACAACAATCCAGTATAATCCCACAAGTGGGGTCTGGGGAGGGTAATATGTACGCAGACCTTACCCCTACAGACCTTACCCCTACCCCGAGGGGCAGAGAGGCTGTTTCCAGGAGACCCTCGGCTCAAGAAGCAACGAGAGACGATATATTAGTACTATCATAACAAAAATTGATGCCATGATAGTAGCATGTAATTGTTTGAATTTTATATCAAAGAGGTAAATAACCAATTTGAGTAAGTATCATACTGTATTGTTGCCTTTTAGAGCAGTATACTGTAATTTACTACGAAAGTAACTGCTTCACCGTCTAAAAACTCAACTAAATGAACAATTAAAAGATCACAGAAGATGAAACTAGTAGCTGGTACTACAAACAATCTATTCAGGCAACCCTAGGAAATATTGATTAGTCAATAATATACAGTAATGAATTCTAGGAAGCATAGGAAGAACATACTTCAGAAAGATTGACACAATTTGCATGGCATAAAACCCGCATATAAGAGGTATACCAAAAGTAGAAACCTACATAAAAATATGGTTCTCTACGAATAACATCCAATCTTCTATACAAAGAGGCACTGGTGCACCAAAAAGAAATAAGGGATATGAAACTACTTCATATGTAATTTGCATACTACATATTAAAGTAATGATTTAAAGCCACAAATGCATTCTGTATTATTCCATTTAGGTTTCACATTCTCAAATTTTTACTGTATAACTAGTTGATAACTTAGTCCTAACAGAAAGATCCTTTTCCGCTATCTACTGAAATAACATTTGCTAGGTGCAAAAGAGAATTAACAGAGGAGTGCAAAAGAGTAGGTAAAGGCTATTACTATTAGGGGTCTTTTGGTTTAGAAGCAAGCTATGCATGTAATGCAAGGATTAGTGATACGGGGATTAGTAATGTAGGAATTATATATTATTGGATATTTGGACGGTTGTACTAAAGCTTATTATATATACAGCGTATATTTTAAAATATGTTTATAATTGTTTAACAAAATAAAATATTAGTCTACATGAAGGGTTACTTTGGTCATTTACTGCGATAAATTTAATCCATGTGTCACTAATCCCCATACTCATATTCCATATTCTACAAAGCATAAAATGATACATAGATTCTCGCATGACTTATGTGGGTATTAGTTATGACTTATGTGGGTATTAGTTATGTGAAAAAGAAAAAATGAAACTAAACTTTGTATAAAATAGTGCTATGTTTTATGAAGGAAAAGAAAAGCAAAACCAAACAATGTTATTGTATAAAACAATGTTAAATTTTATAATGTCACCTTCGATTTTTCTATTTTGGTAAAAGAAATTTAAGTAAAGATGGAGGAGCATATAGCCTCCTCAAGATGAGCGTCATAGAAATGCAGATGTTAAAATGGATGCCGTCATACAAGATTGGATATAGGATACAAGTATCACACATAGAGGATAAAATATGGGAAACCACATAAGATAGTTTCATCATGTCCTACATATACCTCCAAATGCACCAATTCACAGGTGCGACTTTATGGTGAATGAAAAGTAAAGAGGTGGACCTTAAATCAAATAGAGTAAAGTTGTTACAAAAGATCTACAATTTCTAGTGATCAATTGAAACATAGCTAAGAATAAAACACAACGTAAGCAAAGGACCCATAGAGGTGATGCCGACTAGCCGGATAAATTTTTGTTTTAGGTCTGGCCTGGGATAAGTTTGAGATATAGAGAACCTCAATTTTATAGAACACACAAAACAAAAAAAATTACCTTTTTGGGCCTTTTTTGGGGTGAGGGGTGTAAAGGCCTTAAAAGACAAACTATTTACAAATAGAGCAATAGCTACACCTCAATCCCAAGCTTCTTAAAAATAGGGCAAACTTTACGCAAAACACATATTGCTAACCCCAACTAGTTTGGGATAGACTTAATTGACCGATTCAGTATTGTCTAAGGTGAAAAGTGCAAAAGGCACAAATGTTTTTTAAGCTAGCACAAACATAACTAATACGCACTTTAAAAAGATAAAGATATGCTTACAGGCAAATACAAGAATTATGTGGCCAGGGGAGTTGACAAACTGCAATTAAGTAGATTATATCAAGAAAAACCACGTCAATCATGTTTAAATACCAGATTAAATTTCTGATTTATACGCAAAATATGCAACTAAGTTTCCAATTCAAATCAAATGTCTAGTTTTCTATATAAATTTCTAATTTCATAATCCTAATCACCAATATTCCATCCATAGGTTTACTTAACAACTAATATATCATTTTGTCAAACATATGTGTCGTTTACTATAGTAGTATAGCTTCTTTAAGATGACCTAGTAAATTGATCTAATTTTTAAAGATAGTCGGTCGTCCTTTTTTTTGCTAAGATCTACACCTGATCTCCTTAGCACTTCCACAAAAGCGTTCCTCCCTAACTGAGGCGAAGCACCAAGCTTGTGTTGGGCCTAGCTTTAAGGCTTAAGTGCGCTTCCAGTTTGCACTGGATTGATTGGGTGATTGTAACACCCCTCAAATTGCAGATAGAAGAAAGTGACTGTTTTTTTAGTAATCGCAGTGTTCGAGCCAGCTTGCGCGCACCTCAACTAATTCTACGGGGTACCTTTTACCTCCCATCAACACGTGTTCGGGTAACCCTGTCCACCAAGGCTTTGACAGAAGGAAGTGATTACCTTAACTTCCCTTCCAGTTGTACTAGTCGTCATCATGGATAAATACCCTTCCTTCATCATAGCCAAAGTTATATTCCAAATGCATTGTTTTTTAATTAAATTTTTAGAAGAACGAGCACTCAAAATAAGTATCGCTGATACACATGAAGTCTACAAAAGCTAATAAAGCATATATCTTGTCAATACGATTTCTTTACTTAAACTTAATTTAGTAATTGATACACGGCGTGTCATTATTACCAGTAGTATTAGCACTATTCTTGTAGTTTCGTATTCCTAAATCTTTGTTATTATACGTTGTGCCATTTGCTTCCGTTGTCTTATTACCTTGTTGTTGTTATTGTTTGCTCATTGCGCCCTTTTCACTGTCTTGAGCCGAGAGCCTATCGGAAAGAGTCTCTCTACCTTCATAAGGTAGGAGTAAGGTCTGCATACACATTATCCTCCACAGACCTCAAGTGTGGGATTTCACTGGGTTTGTTGTTGTTGTAAACTTAATTTAGTAATTAAGGCAATAATGGAATTATATAATACGCAAACTCCTAAAATAAAGATCCCAATATGTTTGCATCTTAATAGTTAAACAATTGAAAGTAAAGTTACTGTACCTCATCTCTATCATAGTTGTCACCACTGTGAGGATCAAAAAGAACATCACCGGTGGCAAGCTCAAAGCAAATGCAAGCCAAGGACCAAAGATCAGCTGAAGTAGAATATTTAGAGCCTAGGATAACCTCAGGACATCTGTATTGTCTTGTCTGGATATCACTTGTGAATTGTTTATATGTCCAACATGCATTACCAAAGTCGACTAACTTGCACTTAAGGTCCACATCAGCCAATAGTTTCTGCCTCACTGATCGGCTGCCTCTTTTAGGTCTTTGAGTTCTCTGCTGCCCATCCCTTGCTCTGTCTGTCATTGAGCCATCTTCACTTGCTTTAGTATTAGTCTTTCCTTCAACTGAGTCTTTATCGGGTTTCTCATCATGATTAGGCTTTTCAGGACTACTGGCTTCATTATCTTGTTCGGTTTCCTCAGAAGCTTCCTTGCCCGTACATCTTTGAGCTGCTCGCTTAGCCTTTTTCCGAATTTTCTTTTTCTGGTTCTTAGTCAGGTCACTATTTGAACTCTTTACTTCCTTGGAAGCACCAGATTCAGAAAGAATCTTACTTTTACTAGAAGGGAGAACAAGGGCAGCGCCTGACTTTGTTGGATCTTTGCTTTGATCAATCATTGATAATAGCAAAATATTTTCCGGCTTCAAGTCCGTGTGAATAATAGAAAGCTGACGATGTAAATAATCCAAACCCACCAAAACGTGGAAGCAAATTTCTTTAACCTTATTAATCGCTAGCCCTCGATAGTCTGAGTATTTAATTAGAGTCAAAAGATTATCCCCCAAGTATTCAAACACCATACAAACATGTTGCCCATTCGGCCCAGAATGCTTAAAGTGATCCAAGAGCTTTACCACACACTTCTTGTCATCGGGATCTCCCTCTGCAATCTGCTTTAAGATAGTAATCTCATCCATAGCCGCTTCTGTGTAATGCTGCGCACTCTTTTGAACTTTTAGAGCAACATACCTCTATTCCTCACAAAACACAACCAGCAATTAGCTAAACAATCCTCATTTCAAAAGAATTTGCAAAAACATCGAGAAGAGCTCATAAGCACATGAAAGTCCACAGATGTGAAAATTTCTATAGTAAACCATAAATTGCTAAACCGAAGAAAAAATTACTACAATAATTGCAGCATCACAACTATGACCAAAATACAACAACAACAAACCCAGTGTAATCCCATAAGTGGGATCTGACACAACTATGACCAAAATGCAAACAGAAAATAAGTACTCTATATCAAAAGTATTTAAATAAAACAAAAGAATCTCCACTCTCACACACACAGAGAAAACTCATACTTCCTCTATTCCAATTTATATGACACGATTTCCTTACTAGTCCGTTCAAAAAAGAATGACACATTTTTATATTTGAGATTATTTAACTTCACACTTCTGCTCTTATAGTCGGAAAGGTTATGGCATGTTTTAAGACCACAAGTTTTAAAAGTCTTCCTCCCTAAACTCCGTGCCGAGTCTAACCTATATCACGATAAATTGAAACGGAGGGGTAGTACATCATATAACAAGTGCATAGATGCAAAAATTGCTACAGTAAACAATAAGCAGCTAAATCAAACGAACAAATACTACAACACTTGCAGCATAATAAGTATATCGAAAATGCAAAACTTAGTGTAGAAATACTCACAGATTTTTGTGTATCCCAAGCGAGCCAAACAGTTGAAAAGTGTCCCCAACCAAGCTTGCTCTGCACTACATATCGTCCGTGTTTGAACGTATCTCCGATTCGTACAGCGTGATAACCTCCGCGCCTGTAATCGTCAGTACCTTCGTCCTCCGATGTGTAGTCACTCGACTCACTCCGATCGCCGCCGTTCCTCTCCTCCTCTTCCGCCATCGGCAGATCCAACAACCACCACACTCCGACGAATTAGTACCGGCAAACGGCAACGGAGAAATGAAAGCTGAAAACCCTAGCCCTAGTAAAAGAAGGTTCTGGAGAGGAGAGGGAAAATTTATGGATATTTTTGTAATTAATTTTGAAGGAAGAAGAAATAGACGGGCTTTTGGTGTTGTTTATTGGAGTAAAATATAAAACTTTTTTATTTTCTATTTTGTTCACTTTTTATTTTTTATTTTTCCCTCGCTTTTGGTTTACAGGGTTAGATGAGATGAGAGGCCATTTGGTTTGTGTTGCCGGGAAAATAAAGGCAAATGAAATAATGGCGAAAGGGACGGCTGTCAGCTGTGGGATTCTGTAGAAGTAGAACTTAAATCACATCTTTGTTTTTGTTGAAAAATTTGATTTTGTGACATTAGTTGTAGGAGGCATTTTTTTTGTCTTGCAATTGTGTGGTCCCAGAATTTTGTGGGCCCAGATATATAAGATATGGGTCCACAAATACGTAAAATAAAAAGAGGTCTCACATAACTAGTGTAAGTTGTGAGAGACACAAAATAAAATCACTCGTTTTTGTTTTTGTTTTTCTCAAAACTGGTATAAGAACTCCCACGATGCGCGAATAATTTGACAGAATATTAAGCTTATAAAATTATGATCTAATATATCATATTAACTTAATAAATATTAGTTGCATTTTATTATTTAATATACTGTGCAGAAATACAACACAATCTATACAAAATTAAACGGTACACATCATATAGTAATCAAATAAATTGTTTGATCCTTTTAATTTTTTATTGAATTAGCAAGTACTTAGTATTATTGCTAATTTTCTTGAGTGTTATTTATTTATCTTTTTTTTTTAATTAATTTAAAATATAGATATCATAAAATTATCTCTATCCCCCTCTTTTCGTACATTTCTTTCTACTATAATACTTCTTTGATTAGTTTTCAAATTTTATAGTTTATTAAAAATTTAAACAATGTAATATTTTTTACTAAATTTATAATTTTGAATTCATCAAAAGTATATATATGCTTATCTTATGTATAATATCCTAATAGTATCTTTATATTTTTGTTTTATTCATTTGAATTGAAAGTTTCTTTATTTTTTATTTTAAAATAATTTTAAAACTCCAACTTGAAACTACTCCCCAATTTGAATGGATAATTTTTATTATATATTTTCATTTTTTTATTATAGCTAATTTTATATTTTTTCTTAAAATATTTTGTAAAACTCCAACTTGAAACTACTCCCCAATTTAAATAGGTAGTTTTTTTCCCTTTTTTAATTATATGTACTTTCATTTTGTATTATAGCTAATTTTATTTTTGATTTTTGATTTTTTTTCCTTTTTTTTATTTTAATATATTGTAAAACTCCAACTTGAAACTATTCTCCCAATTTGGATGGGTAGTTTTTTTACCTTTATCTATTATAGCTAATTATAAGATACCTTTATTTATAATTTAAATAGAGTAACCTATTAATTCAAAATTTAAAATTCAAAGGTTTTTTAGTTAGAAAGGGATTAACCGAAACTACTCCCCAACTAGTAGTTTTTTTATTTGTTTTTTAATACTTTTGTTTTTTCACTTTAGCTAATTTAATTTCTTTCTTATTTTTTTAATTTAAAATAATTTTAAAATTCCAACTTGAAACTACTCCCCAGTATGAAAGCCACTTGAAAAATATTGTCTTAACAATGCCACTTGACTTTTTGTATTTTTCATTTGAATTGAAAGTTATTTTATTTCCTTATTTTTGTTTTTTATTTTAAAATAATTTTATAACTCCAACTTGAAATACTCCCCAATTTGAATGTGTATTTATTTTATTGATATATTTACGTTTTTTACTATAGCTAATTTTTTTGCATTTTTTTTATTTTAATATATTTTTAAAACTTCAACTTGAAACTATTCCATAATTTGAATGGGTAATTTCTTTCGTTTTTTATAATTAATTATAAGATATCTATATTTATTAATTCAAATAGAGTAACCAATTCTTTCAAACTTTAAAATCAAAAAAGTTTTTAAGTTAGAAAGGTAGTTTATTTTGTCTTAAAGTCCTGTTTGGCCATGAGTTTTGCCAAAATAAATTTGGGATTTATTTTCAAAACTCATGTTTGGCCATAAATTTTGACCATATGTTGGCCAAATCCCAAATCCCAAATTTCAAATCCCAAAATCAACTATTGAGCTGATTTTGGGCCAAAATCCCAAAACTTGAAAATTATATACATGTTTTTCCAAAATAAAGTTGGAAAATAAAAACGTACGTCCAAACACATTTTCATCTTCAAACCAAACTTCACCCAAATAAAAATTTTCAAAACAAATTTGGAATCTATGGCCAAACGCTAGCTAAAACTCCAACTTGAACTACACCCAAATTTGAATTGGCAATTTTTTATTTTTTTTATTTTGTTTTTTATTTAAAATAATTTTAAAACACCAACTTTGTTGGAGCTTTGTCCTAAAAATCTATACTTAGCATCTTATGGTTATCCACTTGGCATCATATAATTATTTGCTTCTATTTTTGTGTGTATGTGTGTATATAAATATTTTTAAATTCCAAATTGAAACCACGCCCCAATTCCTTATTTTTGTTTTCTATTTTAAAATAATTTTAAAACTCCAATTTGAAGCTATTCCCCAACTTGAATAGATAGTTTTTTTATTGTTATTATAATGTTATTATTTTGGTTTTTTTATTGTAGCTAATTTAATTTTTTCTTATTTTTCGTTTTCTATTTTTAAATAACTTTAAAACCCCACTTGAAACTACTCCCCAATATGAGTTATTTTTTTATATTTTTGTTTTTTAATATAGCTAATTATAAGATATCTATATTTATTAATTCAAATAGAGTAACTAATTAATTCAAAATTTAAAAATATTTTTTTAGTTATAAAGGTAGTCTTAATAATGCCACTTAGCTTTTTGTGATTATGCCACTTGTCTTAATAATGTGCTTTTGCCTCTCCCTTTATTATATATAGATCTTTCCTATTGTTTGATATATATACTCATTAATTTACTAAAAGTAGTTATTCAAGATATTCCATTTGATCTTATTTACTTGTCACTTACCTTAAAATAGTTGTTCCATACTTATTGTTAAGAAATAATTTAGTGTAATTTTTAATTTTACCAATCATACTCTACTATAAAAAAAAAAAGTGTAGTCCGGTGGACAAAACATTCGGGAAAGGACCGTAAGGGTGTGATGTAGACAGTTTACATCGAAAATAACTTTACCGTTGTTCAATGGCTCCCTTTTTATATTTTAATAGATGTTTTAAAAAGAAGTAAAGATTGAGATATCAAAAGAATAAATAAAAGTAATTTGTGTAATCTTACCTGCTAGTGGATGTCATGCCTGGACCATTTAAATCATACACTTCTCTATTTGCATAAAAATGAAGAAAGTGAAAGTTGTGGAACTTTTCCAATGATGAAAATAGATTAATAAAATGGAGTTCAATTGAATAAACGAAGATGTAATTTCTTAGAGAATAATGTGCACGGCTCCTTACATTTTCATATTTTTTGAATTCTTAAACGTCTTTTTGCTTCTGCCTTTAGAAGATAGAATTTGCCACAGATATAAACATTATTGATGTGTAAATTCTGTAACACTATTTTTGCCTTCCAATTGCTTATTTCCTCTTTTGACTATACTTCTTTTTCTGCGCATCACCTAAAGCTTCCAAATTACAAGTGAATAATATGAATGAGCCACCATTAGTCACATTCGTAGTTTTTTTTTTATTAATCAATATTGCATCTAAGTACGGGATAAAATGAGAATGTATATGATAAATGTAGTTCAATTCTCAGTAGAGCTGAATTGAGAAAATGCTGTTGATATATATAATACAACAAAAACCGTAGTCCAATCTCATATATAAAGCTTAAAAAATACGCACCAATGCTAGTGGTATAGGGTAAAATACGCTATGCCACGTGGCCGTCCAAAACAAGACATATGGAGCCTAAGGCGGGAAATGTCCAAGACGAAGGCAACTGTTCCGTCTAGGGAATATTTCATGGCATTAAATACGATTGCCCGTTACAAGAAATTTGGCATTTATGTTCACCGTTACATCTTCATCAATGACCCTCATAATTGACATTAAAGAGGGGCATGACCCTAAGACCTCCTTCCCTAGACGTAGCTATAAATAATGAGCTCAGCTATCATTGTAAAGGACATGAATTTGTTGGCAAACTTATACTACACTCTATCCAAAGCTTAATACAATTTTATCTTCTTGCCTTTCTATTTTGTTAATTCTGTGCCCGAACCACTGTGTTTCTGCTATTTCGTCTCTATCTCAAGGCTAAGTATTGCATATTTCTTCAATTATCTTATTATTTTAGGATCAAATTAATTCACTTGTTTAGAAACCACGTATAAATTCAACTGTACCATTTTTACGGGTAGATAGCTTGGCGCCCACCGTGGGGCCTAGACAACCGTGCAATTAAATTGATCCTTGCCTTTTTTACTAATGTGTTTTGATTATTTTGTCTTAGAAAAACTCATAAGAAATGGCAAATAACACTGTCAACAACACGCACAACCCCGAGATTCGAGGAGATCAGCCTTATTTCGAGGACTCAATCAGTGACATGAGAGGAATGGTGCCACACTGATGCATGACAGGCAATATCCTCGACATGTTCGAGAGACAACTCCCGATGTACTGATGAAGAACATGTCGTTGATGCGGTAAGGGTCTTGCAAGAGCAACATGCGATCATTCTAGGCCACCTCACGCGATAGATAAGGTTATGACAGAGTTGAAGTAGGTGCTGTCGGGGGCTTCGAATAACGCAAATAGACGATATCCAATTCCTCCTGGTGCTCCCGCGAATCAAACAACGAAGAGGGTCGACAACAACACTCCCAGGGGTGAAGTTGGCTCTGATGTGGCTGGGGGGGGGGCGAATCCAGCCTCAATAACGAGAATGATCCTTTCAAGAATGAACTTTTACGGTTTATGAGGGAAGTGAACGCCCGCATGGATCAAATCCCGGGTGCGCCACTAGTGCTGAAAGGTCCAGACTCAAAGAAGTATACTCAATTGCCATACAATCCAAGTGTAGTGCCAGAATTAATCCCGAAGCGATTCAAAATGCCTGATGTTCCAAAGTATGACGGAATTTCAGACCCTCAGGAGCATATTACTACCTACACAACGGCGGTGAAGGGAAATAATTTAGCTCCTC